CTGTCCAGGACAAAACCTCACCTTCTGATACCACTATTCAGTCTACCACCACTCCTCGTCCTGAGAAATCTGCGTCTGAGAGCCGTGTTGAACTGGGTGAGGTGTTGAAATCTGACAAATATCAATCTGAGCTCCCCTCACCTCCTCAGCAAGAAACCGCACCCTCCAGCACTATTGTTCAGTCCACCCCTACCAGTCATCCCAAGACATCCACTTCTGCTCCTGAGAGCCGTGTTGCGCAGTGCGAGGTGTTGACTCCCAGCAAAGATCAATCTGATATTCCCTCACCCACTCAGCAAGAAACCTCACCCTCCAGCACCACCACCGCTCAGTCCACCCCCACTACTCGTTCGAAGAAATCCGTGAATTTCGCCGACTACCCCAACTTGGACCCTGCGATTGCTGCGACGATGAGAGTCCCCGATCTGAAGGAGGTTTGGGGCTACGTGCGTCCGCGTAAGCCCAGCAACACCAAAGCGAAAGCCGAGGCAGCGGCGCCGGTTGAGCCCCTTCCCGAGTTGAAAACCAAGGCTCAGCTCAAGCCTCGCAATGAGCTGGAGCACAAACCTATCCACAAACACAGGCCTCATCCCCTCAATCTCCAGAAGGTCAATTCGCCCAGTCAGACCAGCACCGAGGTCAAGATTCACCATCATGACCGCCCGACCGCGGATGAAAAGAGCCCACGCACCCCCGGCAGCCAGAACACCGCCGAGCCTGCAGCAGCGGAGGAGCTGTCTGCCAAAAAGTCTCCGGCCATCACATACAGCGATCCCCGAGAGGTTCCCGAGGGCATGCGCACCGCGTTGGATCGCCACTTCATCCGCGCCATCGAGCGCGCCGGCCCGTCGACACCCTGGGAGGAAGGCATCCGGACCGAGACCGCAAAGCTGATCGCCTCCAAGCCCAGCACTCCCAAAAACTACCACTACATTCTGGATCTGGATCAGTATGATCACGAGGAGGTCGACGAGAACAGCCCGATCGCGCGCCACTACGGCTCCCAGTGGGCGACCAAGAAGTACCACCACTGGATGAACAAGGACGGGCCCCGGCGCAGGTCCAAGACAGACTCCAGACTGAAGCAGAATCTGAGCAAGGCGGCCAAGGTTCTGGACTTTGAGTATCGCGATAATGTGAAGGGGTTCATGTCGAAGAAGAGTACGTCGAGCCTGGCGAAGAAGGATGTTGTTTCGAGCTTGTCCAAGAAGAGTGTTGCGAGCTTGTCGAAAAAGAGTATTTCGAACTTGAGCACCAAGAGCACCAAGAGTAAGACTGCCAAACAGGCGACCGCGTCGTCCGGCTCCAGCACCAAGAGCACCACCCATGTCTCGAACAAACCGGCGACGGTATCGTCAGCCAGTGCCAGTGCCAGTGCCAGCGTCAACCCCGCCACCAAAGCCCCGAGTACTCCAACCACCACCGGCAAGCCCACCATCAGCACTCCCACCAGCACCGCGGCCAAACCATCCAACCTCCCCCGACCCGCCGCCAGCGCCAACGTGCAGACCATCGTCTCGAACATCAACACCATCGTGTCGAATGCGAAGCAGCAGCAGGAGCAGGCCACCGCCAACGCCGCCCGCGCCCGCAAGCCCACCACCCCTACCACTCCCACTCCCACCCCCGTGGCCACCCTGACAACCACCACCCACACCTCCCACAAGACAAGTAAACCGCGGGATACAACCTACATCACCAACATCCCGACCCCAACCGGCGGCTTCACGCGCATGGAGATCGCGCAGGACGTGCCCCCACACCCAGACTACTACCCGCGCGAACGCCAGGACATCGCGCTGACCTTTCGCGGCTTCATCGATCCCGATATCAAGTCAGACGTCATCCCGGACTACTACCCGGGCATGTTCGACAACGATCCCTACGCGCGCATCGTCGCCCCTGCTCCGCCGAAGCGCGTGGATTCGCTCGTGGGCCCCCCCGCCGATCTGCCTGATTACCTCAAGGCGTATCACGACAAGCTCCCCGCCACGCCCGATGCCCCGGCCGTGCAGTATAATCGCGGCACGCGGCACCGGGATGCGTCTATCTATGTGCCGGAGGAGGATGAGGTTGTTTGAGGAAGATATGTATGTATGCCCTTGACGTGGCTTGTTTTTGTGTTGGTTCCTGGCTGACTTGTTATGGAGTGGTCAGGGTGACTTCCCTTCAACCAAAAAAATCCAAAAAATATTGAAAATTTTAAAACAAAAAAAAGGTTGAAAGGAGAAAACCCGTTTTGTGTTGTTTTTCTTTTGTTGGCTTGGGTTTGTATCTTTTATGGGTTGCATGAATTAACGATGACACGAAAATGAATTATGAGTGATGAGATGATGAGAGGTGGATTGGGAGATTGAGCATGGCGTTCGCTGCACTATGGAAAGGAAAAGTTATGGGTTGGGGTTGGATTCGGGAGGATTGCACGTGTTTAGTTTTGTTTTTCCTTTTTCTTGTATTTACGGGGATGATTGGGGGCTTTGTTATAGCTTCATTAAAAATGAAAATGACTTCAAGTCAATCCTTCTCCAGGTTTCGTTTTAGGAAGTAGTATACACTACAGACGTCCTCTTGGAATAGTAGCATGAACATTACAGAAGGAGCCCAACCGTTGAACGATCAAAACTGGTATTTTTGTACAACTCGCTGGAGAAAACAGATAAGAAACAGGAAGCCACACCCCTCAATTCCTTGTCACAATCATCTTCTCGATGTCCACCGCCGCATCCCGGATCTGGGGACAGTAGTGGTTTCGCAGCAGTTCGCCCTCCCAGACCGTGCCCGCGAAGACGTTGGTGGTCTCGATGTCCGTGGCGAACGGGTTGAAGACGCCGTCCCCTCGGCGCTCCTCGCTGTGCCAGAGGGAGGCGATGCGGCGGGCGTTGTGCCGCGCGACCTGGTTCATCAGCGAGAGCGTCGCGATGGCCGATTTCTCCGGCAGCTGGAGCGAGGAGGTCATGAGGCGCTTGGCGAACCCGCCGAGGCGGACGGGCGGCGGGTTGCCGTGGGCCCGCGAGATGAGGGTCGAGTGGAGGCAGCGGAGGAGGAGGACGGTCGGGGTCTGGAAGTTGACCTTCTTGCGGGATCGCGGCGTGTGTTGGCGGGCCGCGTGCGAGTCCGGGTCCGGCAGGCGCAGCGACTTGTCCGGGTTGTATTCGACGTCCGGGTTGATGGAGAGCGTGTACAGGGAGCGGTAGAGGTGCTTGACGAAGTAGCTCAGGTCCAGGTGGAGGTTGGCCGCCGCTTTGCTGGCGTCCTGCCCTTCCAGGAGCGCGAACGCTGTGACCGTGCACAACAAAGCTTCACGGTGCGCGTCCCGCGTGCTAGTCGGCTGCGCATCGTTGTCATCGTCGGCTTCTTCGGTGTGGTTCTCTTCCTCGTCGCGGTCGGCGTGCGCGATCAGCTCCTTCAGCGCCTCCAGCAGATCACCGAAGAAGTCCTGGTTGATCAGGTGGGCGTATTTGGCCAGACCCTCGAGGACGGGGCCCATGAGGGTGGGGATGCGCAACTTCAAGATGCGGAAGTAGACGCCAAAGACCAGCTTAAGGGTCTCGGCTTGGTTCTTGTCTCGCTCCTCATGCGACACCAGCGCGTCCGCCTCCTTCATATCCTTCTCGACCGCCTTCCGTTCCTTCTGCACCTTGCGCTCCTTCTTGGTGCGGAACTCCCGTTTCTGCTTGGGCTTCTTGCCCCCGAAGTTCTCCTCTTCGGGCTCGCGCTCAATCCGGTCCCGGGAGGCCTTGTGTGCGAATTCCGAGAGCAGTCGCAGGCTGAGGAACGTGTCCAGCACACTTTCGTGGACGCGGAACTCCTTCGCCTTCATCAGCTTGGAGAGCAAGCGGACGGCTTCCAGCGACACGACTCCATCATCGTCCTTTTGGAACACGTCTTCCAGGGTTTCGCGGCACTTGACGAAATCCGCGTCGACCTGTCTCCGGGCCAGCCGATTGATGAGGATCTTCAGCAACTCGGTGCGGAAGTTGAAGTGCGGTACGGAAAGCAGCAGGTTGCACGCGCAGTTGATCGCGATCGTCTTCAAGCCCGCATCGACGGGGGCGGCGTCTCGCTTTTGCGGCTTGGTGATTTCGACCAGCTTTCCGATATATTGCTTGTAGTTGGACAGGAGGGACTGCTCGTAGCTGCGGAGTTTGCGCACTTCCTTCGAAATCTTGCCGGTCATGTCCTGGTCGGTGAGAGGGCGGATGCGGTACCCGGGGATGACATCCTTGTAAACGGCGGCTTGCGAGGCGAGGGCGAGCTTCTGGATCGCAACGTGCTTGCTGGGGTCCACCATCTCGGCCATCGTCTTGAACAATGGGATGTGCTCCTCCGGATCTTCATTGATTAACGTAGCCAATTTGGCGAGCTCTTCCTTCGCTTGGATGATCTGCACCTTCAGAGGGATCTTCGGCGCTTCTTCCTTCACTTCCTCGTCCTCGTCCTCGTCCTCGTCTGCGGCAGTATCGTCCATCTCCTCGTCTTCATCGTCGTCCGTCCCGAGAAAGCTGTCTGACTCCTCCGCTTCGATCTCAGGCTCCTCCATGGTCTGGAAACCCTCCGCCGTCTTGATGGGCAATCGAGTGCGCTCCTTGTCCTTCTTGCCGGATTTGCGGGGTCGGCGCTCATAGTCTTGTTCGAGATCCCATTCGGCGGCATGGCTGTAGAAGTCGCCGATAGGGGCGCCAGAAGGTTGCGAGGACGCATTCTCGTCGTCGCCAGGGGGGCTCACCCGTCTGCGTTTCGTCGTGCGTCCAGGAGCCATTTTAGTGTAGGTGAATGGTCTTCTGCCTTTTGGGGGGGGAATCTTTTTGCGGGATTGGCCTGTCCGAAACTTTTTTTCTCTGTTGCTGGTGCCAAGACACGGACAATGAAAAAGGTACAGTACCCGTCCCTCCCACCGCCTTCCCTGTCGGGATCCACCGCCTAGAATTTTTGTTTCCGCGGAGCTTTTTTGACTTCAAGATTGCTCTTTTTTTGATAAACCCACTCCAAGCACCTTTTGGTTCGAGTTTCGTCCCGTGTATATCTTTTCTTCCCTTTGAGTACGCAGTGTCGTACTTAGATCACATTCCATCATGCGTCAACTCACTGAAGGTTAGTCTTTGCCTTGGGACTCTTCTGCTGCAGCCAGCGCAATCGCTGCAGACCATCAACGCACCGAATCGCTGACTCCGAGACTCTAGAGGAGACGAAGACGCTCTTTGAGAAGCTCAGTGCCTACTGTGGCCGGTCCATCTCGAATCTGATCACGGCCGGCTCCGAAGACAACGACCGCTATGTGTTCCGCATGATCGGCAGCCGCATCTACTACGTCCCGCTGTCCCTGGCCAACCTGGCGACCTCCATTCCTCGCGATTGCTTGCTGTCGATGGGTACTGCGATCGGAAAGCTTACCAAGACTGGAAAGATGAGAGTAAGGGCATACCGGTTGTGAGGGTGGGCCATGTGGTTCGGATTGACTGACGTTGTGTAGCTCCACATCACTGCGCTGGACGTGATCTCCCCTCACGCACGCTTCAAGGTCTGGATCAAGCCGAACGGTGTCGCCCCGTTCTTGTACGGAGTAAGTTTTCTCGTGGTGTTGGACGCGCGGATCCGCCGTCGGGGCCGAGGGTCATGAAGCACTGATGCTAATTACCTGCCAGGGAAACGTTGTCAAGGCGCACGTCGGAAGATGGTCCGATGACTGCCCGGAGCATGCTGGAGTGGTTGTGCTCGACCAGAATGACACACCCTTGGTAAGGATGCTTTTCGTCGCCCGTCCAGCTCTGGTCGCAATGGTCGCTGATTCATTGATTGTAGGGATTCGGAGTCACTGCTCGGTCCACTGCCGAGGCACGGAAACTCGAGCCCACGGCGATTGTCGTCTTCCGTCAGGCAGATTGTGGAGAGTATCTGAGAGAGGTGAGCTTGCTTTTCGGAGGTCGAGACGGGCAGATGGCTGACCCATTGCACAGGAAGATACTCTTTTCACGACCTAGAGAAAAGTGTTGCATACGCGGAATCGATCATGGGGTTATTTTTTATAGATACCTTGGGATTCTCGCAGGAGTTTTGGAGTCGTCGTTTTTTCATCGTGTGGCTATGGTTGTTTTGTCTAGAAAAGTCTTTATCCTGGTGTCTAGCCTTGTACTATGTCTGACGCATGAGATAATATCATTATTGGCATCATCTGATACTGTCTATAATCCTGGTCTTCAGAATCAGATAAGTTCTGCATTGCACTATTTGCAGCTTTGGACTGAAGCAGTATTTCATCTCTGATATGTAGAAAAAGTGTGAAACCGTGGGCATGTACTACACTGTGAATGAGTCCAGTCATACCCACACTTTCTAATGTGAATTCGGTGAATTACTAGACTATTGTAGCCATGGCTGCCCTGATCGACCACTTCACTGAGAGAGATCCGATATCTGAACCAGCAGCACTCGATGCGGGGCACGTGCACGGGGCCACTTGCAACTGAACTCTCAGCGGGCAGCGGAAACCACCGCTCAATTCGGCCGATCGCCCCCCCTCATCGAGAACAAATCAAAGAACTGCGACAACCAGCTCGAGGCCGTTCGCAATCTCAACTTTGGTGTTCGTCCCTTCGCCCCGATATCTTCCAATCTTGCTACACGGATAACACAATCTCAGACTTGCATGGCCGTCATTCTGATCATCTGAGCTTTTCCGCGCGCGCAGAGTTTCCCCCCCACCATCATCATCAACATTTGATCCGGGCAAGCCACCCCCACCACAACGACCACCATCATCCATCATCATGCCGCCCTACTCGAGTCTGCAAAAGCAACAAATAGCACAGTTTATCAGCTTCACTCAAGCGAAGGACACAGCGGCTGCGAAGGTAATTTCGCATGATCTCTCCGATCACGTTTCGCCCTGCTCTATCCGGTTCATGGCTCCGGGGGGCATCACGTGCGTGGGATGTGTGGCTAACCGGTGCTGTTTATTGATATAGTTCTTGAAAGCGGCACGATGGGATCTTGAAGAAGCTATCAATACGTAGGTGCTTGCCTCCTTCTCTTTCATGGGATATGGTCTTGCTCTCACTTCGGGGATGTCTTTTTGTGGTTATTTATCATCTGATGATCCGGATATATCCTGCCTGGGCTGCGGCTTCATATGTCGCTAGGCCGGTACTTAGTTCTTGGGTGTTCCTCTTGGAGCCAGTATCACTTGCGGTGCATGGACTTTGTGTCAGGCGGGTCAGTTCGCAGGACTCGGTGGTTAGGCCTTGGGAGCTCGGCGGCTCGCCACGAGTCCATCGATCAATCGCCAAGCGCAAGCCCGCAGCCAGGCGGCCATGCAGTCTGGTTCAGAGCAAGATCCTCTCGCCAGATGGATAGCTCAGTCTCGGTTGCTTGCACTAGAGTGAAAAAGCGATTGGACTTGAAGCAAGTCAAGCACGGGTTGGGTTGGCATCGTCGCTGCAAGGACATCGTCCATCTACCGTCTGGCCAAGCTGCGAGGCCGATATCACCGCAATTGATCAACCGCCAGCACCGCAGGATATGAAGCCGGGTCTCACAGACCACCTGCCCTCCTCAACCATAGACCAAGACTATCCTATCATAATTCAACCGCACTAACCACCCCCAAAACCACAGATACTTCCAAAGCCCCTCCGGCGCCGGAGCCAGCACAAGCGCGATCAACAAGATCTTCGACAGCTACAGCGGTACATCCACTTTAACCCCCCCTAAACCCTTGCCTCAACCCCAACTAAAACCCACCCAGACTCCCCCGAAGAATCCCCCGAGACCATCGGCATCGACGGTGTAATGCGGTTCCTAGGCGACATCTCCGTGCAACTCGACGAAGTAACCTGCCTAGCCATCGCGGAGCTCGTCAAATCCCCCACGATGGGTGAATTCACGCGAGAAGGGTTTCTGAATGGTTGGCGCGCTCTCGGGTACGCCCCTGCCCTTTCCCCAAACCCCCTTCCCCCAGTTCCTTTCCCCCCTTAAGAAAAAATAAACCCCTGATACTGAAGAGGGATAGAGCCGACACCCTCGCCAAAATGACGGCCCACGCGGCGGAGCTCCGCGCGCGCCTGCCCATCGAACCGGACCTCTTCCGGCGGGTGTACCGGTACACGTTCCCGCTGTGCCGGATGCAGGGCCAGCGCAACCTGCAGTTCGACATCGCGGCGGAGCAGTGGCGGCTGTTCTTCACGGCGGAGCACGGCGGCGTGGCGTGGCGGTCGGCGACGACGCCGTGGCTGGACTGGTGGCTCGAGTTCCTGGAGGGGCGCGGGCCGCGGCCCGTCAATAAGGATCTGTGGGAGCAGGTCGAGGTGTTCATGCGCAAGACGGGCGAGGATGAGGCGATGGGGTGGTGGAGTGCGGATGGGGCATGGCCCGGGGTGATTGATGAGTTTGTGGAGTTTGTGCAGGGGAAGAGGAGGGGTGGCGGTGCGGGTGGGGAGATGGAGGTTGAGTAGGGTTCGTCTGGGGGTGTGGTAGAGGGGAAGATGGTTGGAAGGTAGATACGCATGCAGTGGTGTTGATGAATGGATTTTCTATCGTGTTTTCAGGTGGAGAGCTGTAGGATGTAACTGGTTGACTCGGGGTGACTACTGCCACGAGAGATACTAAGCGCAGCTTAAGAGTGTCAAAGGGGCTTAAGGTATGGCTTTTCATTTGCGGTTCAAATGGCGATATACTACGTAAATATGGTTGTCTCATAGCAGGATAGACACTCGTCGCAACGCCAGAGCCATGAACGGGACATATCACAGATCAAACATCATTCGGGGCGGGGGCATGGAGTGGGTGGTATAGGTAGATGGTATATGTAGATGGCATAGGTGAAAGAGGAGGTGGTCGTCATGGGTATATTGGCCGCATTACCCTCAATTGACCAGCGATGGTCATGGGGGTTGGAATTTCATATGTACAGTATTTACCGGTAGTCGCCCTTGTCGTACTCGCTGCCGGGACCACGACGCTGGTCGTAACGCTGCTTTGTGGTTAGCACTGTTCCAACCACAACACGACAGGAGCCTCACCTTCCGGAGCGCTTCGAGGCGCTTCTTCTTCGTGTGGGTGTTGACGTAGGTTCCAATGACGAACCCGACAATGTTGAAGAACGGCACCCAGGTGTGCTCCGGCAGGAACTTCTGCGCAAAGGCCAGCGCGATGGGCGAGGTCACCCAGCTGACCTTCATGACGGGCATGAAGCCCGCCCGGACGGTGGCGCGGACCTGGTGGATGGTGCGCGCACCGGCAATGACCGCCATGCTGGTCAGGTACACGGCGTTCTGGATGGGGGAGACCTGCGGGCCGAGTCAGCGAATTGGAATCCCTCGTGCATCGCGTGCGACACTTACGAGCAGGTTGCTGGCCAAGATCTGCAGCACCTTGGCCTTCAGGCTAGTCCGTCCAGCGAACACCTTTTGGAGGATCCCGATCAGGAAGTGGCCCAGCGGGGCGCTGATGAACATGCCGTACAGGACCATCTTGGGCACCCGCGGGCTGAGGTAGTGGCCATTTTTGCTGACATCATGCGCGATCCAGGACGCCAAGATCTCCTGCAGACCGGACAGCACTCCCGACGTCAACATCTTGGTGCGCAGGGGGTTTTGCTGCAGTTGGCGGAGGTAGAGCTAGAGTCGGCCGAGAGGGAGCCAGTCAGCAAAGGTCGGAATTCTGCTGTATCAACACCACAGACCAACAACGTACATTGAGATACCCCCCGCCAGTCAGTCGCTCACCGACTTTGTGTACCAATTCTTTCGTGTCTTTCCGTAGGGAGGTGACGGCCTCATCTTGGAATTTGGCGGACATGGCTGCTGCTGCTGCTGATGCTGCTGATGGACCGAAGGAAGGAGGTTAAGCGCGCGATCTAGATAGTGTGGGTAGATGAGCGATCGGAGATCCGAGATAACGATGATGACGGCAATTGCGGAGAGATAGCAGGGCAGTAAGGCAGTCTAAAGTGATCGCAGGAGCTGTAAGTAAGAGAAAACCATTCGGGATTGCAATGGACAGTAGAGGCAACGGAGGGTTGCGGATGGAATAAGGTGTGGTGAGTGAGTGGGTATTGTTGGGGAACAGACCCGGGGGGGGGGAGGAGGGTGGGAAAGGAAATTGGTAGGCAAATGGTCGGATGGGCGTCCCGCGCAAGAAAGGGTCGGACCCAGGGGTTGGTTTGTTTATCGGCTGAAGTGGAGGAGGAGGAAGAGGGAAAAGGCCCGCGATGAGGAGGCTGGAAGCCGATGGGTGGTTCAGGTGGTTCAAAGGCTGGTAATAAATCAGTGCTTACCGAGGTTACAACTCCAATCGATTGGAACCAGCACACGTCAGTCAATTGCTTGTACTGTCACAATGGAAACACCCGCGGGGAAAATGTAGTAAGTAGTAGAGGCAAAAGTAGACCCCGGATTCTGAAGAGGAAAAAGCAGAACGAAGTGACAACAAATAACAAGTCAGTTTGAAGCTAGAGGAGGGTGAGGGCGAAGGTGAGGGCGAAGTCGGAGGAGGAGAGAGACAGTCAGTGGCAGTCAGTGGGAACTAGGAAGGTCAAACCGGCCACGAGGTCGGCAAATGGAACAGAAGTTACAGAACAAATGGACCTCGCGTCAACTTTATACCTGTTTGTGTAGGTAAGGTCTCCGTACAGTACGGTAAGATCAGCTCAGCTCGGTAGGGATTCCGCCGCTGTCCTTCGGTCACCTCCGACTATGTACATAACTACCGTGGTTACTCCACCATCACCACTACTAACTTTTCTTCGGTATCTTCATCTATGTAAACAATCAAGATGTTTTGCTCATTTTCAATTTGTTGCAGCTAACAATGACTGGAAGATCATCTCTCATCTTGCACGGTCTTCGTCAGAACTCTCAGGTGCAGTAATACCAGGACGAGCTCGGAAAACCCAGCCTATTTCGGATAAGTGCAGGCCGTTGATGTTGACTGAAGGTGATAACCACCACCAGGCAGAGCTGTTCTGCTCCTAGATACTATATCTGTACTTCAACCCCTTTCTCAAGAAATCCAGGCACATTTACTAACAGAAATGTAGGTAAATGTAACTAAGTCCAATGCCAAAGGGTTTCTAGAAAAGAATTCAGTGCAACTTCTTTGTATCTCAAGATCGATAGCCAGTGCATTAGCCAAATATAGTCTACCACTGTACTGCTATGGTTTCATTCATCGGAGGACTAGGGCTATTTCCAACCATGTGAGCCTCTGCTCAGGCTGCGCTTCTCTTGGTGCTTGCGCTTGCTCCTTTGCGCTCAGGTTAGCCAGAGCGACATCATGCCCATCCCAAGAAAACAGATGGTCGCCCCCGGCGATTCCCATCTGCCCCGACGCAATGTTACGTTCACTGATGAACATGAGCGTGTTCTAGCTAACTATTTCATTTTTTGCTGTTCTCTGCTTCCTCTCTCCTTTCCGTGTTCATACGTCCATGCTTCTTGTCCTCTGCTATCTAGCGTTCTCAGATCACGGAATAGAGACACTTCAGTTGGCCATCCAGTCTGCTAGAAGCGGTCGACACGTCTTCTCTATCTTGTAAAACCTTCCGTTACCTCCTCCAAGCAGCAGAAATGAAAAAGCTTTCTGTAAGCAAGTCCAACACAGAGCCGGACTCCTCGTCCAACATGGACACCTCAGCAGAGATCCCGGCAACACTCCCTGACCATGAACCATCTCATCCCCCAAATACTCAACATGACCAAGAGCCTGAGCTCCATGTCTCTGTAGAGGTTGCATCTGTCGAGACCAACCGCGTGGATAGTGCTGAGAGAGCCATGGAGCATAGCCCCGAGCAACAGGAACCAGCCGGAGCAACCGAGCACAATCATGTCCCCGCCTCTGAGTTTTCAGAGCTTGAGGAGACCGACCCTCTCCAGAGTCAGAGTCAGAGACCATGGACTGGCCGTGACTTCGAGACAAGTTTGCACTTTGCAGAGCGTGTCACAAGTTGTCCTCGTTCTTCATCCTCAAGGTATTGTCCCGCCCAAGCCAACGCTCTACCCTCTACAACCGGCGTCCACATCCAGACTAACAGTTCATCCAGCTTTATCAGAGAAATAACAGAGCCGTTGTTCGAACGAGACTCGGTCCTTTCGCCTCGTCCCGCAACTCACAGCACCGCGAGAGCTGAACCGCCGTCCACCGCAGGTAGTTACAGTCGAGCCAACGGCGTCAATCGAACGGCGATCGCAAGAGTACTCCTCGCTCGTATCGATCGGGACCGAGACCCGATCTTCTATGGGCCCGTGAACCAGGTAGTGGAAGACGATCGTCCGTGGGGGCTCCGCTCGTGTAAACATGGCAAAATGGACCGGGTGCCCCTCGTGGATCCGCACGAAGTGTGTGACCGCTGCGGCCGTAGACCGGTGCTCGGCTGGCTCTATCAGTGTTCCGTTGACGAGCCCGGCTTCGGGAACCCGAATAGTACCAGAGACGGGGAGGTGCTGAGTTCGTGGATGGTCGACGCCATTAAGACTGGCAAGTACACGGATGCGCAGAAGGAAACACTGCTCGAACAGAAACTCACTGTCTTTCGTCAGGCGTACGAAGAGAGAGTTGCTTACAACGAACGCTATTCGAGCGTCACCATCTTCCCTTCGATGCACAGGGCGGAGGAGGAGCAAAATACTGACTCCGATGACGATGGTCCCCATGTTCAGCTGATTGAAGATGTTCAGCAGAGCCGTAGCTCGAACGCTATCGGTGCTTCATCCACCACTGGACAAGTGAAGCATGGCGAGGATATCCAGCACAATGCGTGTCGCAGTTCAGACTCCACTACCCAAGGCGTGGTCCCAGTCGGAGACTCTGACACTTCAGCTCTCCCACTTCAGTCTATCCCACATTGCAACTGGCGGGCCTGCCATCGTTGCTTACCTGCACACATGGAACGAGCATGGGAAAGCATCAACGCAGTGTGTAGACCCGAATTCCCAATCCCGGGTGCCTTCAACTTGGGCGAGCGGGTCGTCGTGAACGCAGTGTTCGTCTCCAATCTAGGGCAGAGACCGAACCCATCCCCCACTCCTCCTCCGGTGCCCCGATACTATGGAGGCGAGTCGCAGCCCGCACTACATGCCGTGTCGAGCTATCGTGGCGTAGCACGCTTATCATCCTATCTCCCGAACGCAGCCACCGGATCTACATCTCAGAGCTCCTCGTCTGCCTCGAGAGTGACAAGCCCTGCGTCCAGGTCAACAGTGGATCTACCGTCGTACATGTCGACATCGACCAGTGATGCTACCAGCTCTGGCTCCCAGTCTTCCTTTGCCTCATCATCCATAGGTGATTCCAGCGACCGATCTCCATCCGTGCTACCCACTTACCCCATTGCCAGACACAACAGTGCATCGCAGTCCACACACCATCTGCCCCTCCCTTCACCTCCAACAAGCCAAGCATTGTCATCATCCACAACCGGACTACCCTCCTACCCAGTGACAGCAACAGCAACAGCGACCCCCCGCCAATTCCACGGACCCCTCAACTCCCACCCCACCAACGCAAGTTACGATCCACCCCCGGCTAACCGGCTGCAGCGAGCGCGCACCAGGCTACAGGCCATCCTCGAACCCCTCGGACGCAGCCTGACGCCCTCACCGAGGGATTATAGTGCTGAAGCTTCCTCCGTCTGGGTCAATATCGGGAATCACTTGCGCACGGCACTACGGAAGAGAAGATATGGCGAGTTCCTTTGGCGGCGTCGCAGACAGGTAGAACAGCCGCCCTGCCCTCGTGGCCCGCGCGGCCCCTGTCCCTTCCCCATGGCCCCCGGATACCTCATGGCTGCTGACCCGGAAGAGGTGCGAGAGGAGCGCGAGGTGTTCCGGTTTGGGCAGATGGTGGGTCGCGAGCGCTGCATTAATTCGGGTCTCCACGTCTGGGAGGATGTCATGCCGGTCATTGAAGAGGTGGAGCCTTGGGAAGAGGAGTCTCAGAGTGAGGATGGGGATAGTAGTTGGGGGGATAGTAGGGAGGAAGAGGAGTTCGAGGAGGAGGAGGAGGTCAGCGAGGAAGTGGAAACTGAGGTGGGGGCTATCGAGGAGGTGATAACTGAGGAAGAAGCAAGTAAAGATAAGGGCAAAGGGAAACTGGAGCGCGTCGAAAAGGGCGATGAGTGCTACGAAGGGACGAGTGACTCGGAGGACTCGGTTGGATCGGACGAGTCGGATTTGGTTGACCCAATCTTGATATCGTGACGGGTGAAGAGCGCTTGAAGTGACCTCTTCTTGAGGCGAATTACACGGAACCTGTCTCCACTAATGTGCCGTGGTCGCTGATTTGGTTTGTCATGTTGGTGCTGGGACGTTGAGCTAGGTGTTGAAGTGGGGAGGTGTGTGGTCGGGTAACATTTCACATGTTCTGCTGTAAGAGTACTTGGAAATTTACGGAAGGTATAGTGAGAATTGAATGAAATTGCCCGCAGGTGTTGTCGCCAGAGCTACATGATGATAATGAAATTATGAAGTCAAGGAAAGGTCAACAGTAAGTTAGTGTATCAATTAGCGAACTACGTAAAGCATACAGCGGCGCTAGTTAAACGCACCCATTAGTTATCTGGTAAGGTCCATCCCATCCGATGACTGAATGGGGCAGGCAGGATAGTTATCTAATCTCATCAAAAAACAATGACCCGCGGTTCAACTCTGAACTCCATCGACTTTCCCATTCCGAGCCAATTCCGAACCTCGGCACGCGCGCCAAGCACCGACGGCTGATCAGATGCAGATGACCGCCTGGTCTATATAGTACTCTTCTAGTCCACCCCCGTCCGTCCGACTCTTCTGGAGGTCTGCTGGCGATGACTGATGCAAGATACACCAGACAATATGGCAGACCCCGAAGTTACCACCGAACCAGCTCCAAGTGAGAGCGCACCATCACCATTACCACCACCACCGCAAGAAGATGAGGGGAAATCGCCGACCTCAAACCCACCGCGGGGATCCTCACCACCACCACAACCAAAACCACAATCAGCTTCCTCCCTCCTTCAAGCTCGTCGTCAGCTGCTGGCAGCCCTTCGAGCAACAGACACCACCATCGAGCGACTCGACAAGTAGGTCCCCTGCCCTCTCCCATCCTTCCTAGTACAGAAGCCACCGCTCCACCGCTCCACCTCCACCACCACTCCTCCAACCGTACACTCCATACTAACAACGACAGACTCACCACCACAGCAGCCGGCACCGAACGCGTCCTCGCCGTAACAGGCTACCTCTCGCACGCCCTGCACCACCTCCTCGCCTCGGCGCCCTGGCTCGCCTTCCAAACCCGTCTAAGCCTCCTCGCGCGTCTCCGTCGTCAGCAGCGCCATCTCACCCAAAAATCCCCCTCCAAACCTACCCCCTCCGCCCCATCGCCGCCACCACCCACCACCTCACCAAGCACACCAAACAAGCCCCCCCTCCTCGCCCTCTCCTCCCTCATGTCCGAAACCCGATACACCCTGCGCCTCCTCGGCCTCCTCCCCCTCTGGACCTGGGGCGCCGCAACCCTGCGCTCCCCGCCGCAAGACCGCACGCTGTACATTCTCACCCTCCTCCAAGTTCTGGTCAATGTGATCTACCAGCTCCTCGAGAACGGAAGCTACCTCGCCGCGAAGGGGATCCTCAGCCGCCGGTTCATCGACCGGTGGGGCGGCATCGTGCAGTGGGATCTGTGGAGCACGCGCGCGTGGTTCGGGCACATCTTCCTGCAGTTCTTTGTGCTGGCGCGGGAGAGGAGTCTGCGGTTGCGGCGGAAACGACAAAATCAGGAAGGGCGGAAGGAGGGGTCAGCGGAAGCAGACGCCGGGGAGATCCGCGCGTGGAGGAAGAGTCTCGTGAATAATGTGTGCTGGGCGCCGTTGTGCTTGCATTGGTGCTTTGAGGAGGGGATCGGGTTCCCGGAGCAGTTGACCGGCTTGGTGAGTTTTATGGCCGGGGCGTGGGAGGTTTGGGATTCGTGGGGGCGGACTACTACTTAGTAGGTCTGGGGTTTTGGGTTGGGTGAGGTTGAGGTTGAGGTATTTGGGTTTCGTAGAATTCTGGATGGTCGGTTAGACTCTCTAGATTCGATTACCTCAGGCTACTTTTCTTTGCTCGCTTTGCTATGGCTTGGCTTAGACGATAGAGATTCTTGGATAAGCGTATTCATTGGGTTTGTCATGCTAGATGCCTGAATACAGGATAGGATCCAAGCTAACACACCAAATACCAAATCCAATTCACAGCTAGAGCTAGATGCTCGGTTGTTGTGGCCTCGAAGGCGGATAGATCATGAAACAAAGGAAACAAGCGCAAGCAAGTGAGACACCCCGAAACCCCCCAAGATACCCGTCATGTCATAAGATAGATAAAAATCATGTGTTGCTAAGAATCCGCAGTCGTCATGTCATGCCAATGTCGTTATCATCGTCATAAGCGTCATCACATCGTGAATGAGCATCAAGTCGTCATCGTATCGTGTCGTATCGTAAATGAGTATCAAACGCCTTGCAAAGTCAACCCGTGGCAATGGGGATAAGGGATAGGTCGCGGACCCGGAGGTAAAAATGTCAGATAAGAGATGCGGAGGTTGTCTCGAAAGGCCTACGTCTCAGACCTAGTAGCCATGCACGCATCGAATCAAGTTGTACCTGATTCCGCGACACTCGAAAGCCAGAGCTGAAAGTTAGAGCTTAGAGGCGGAACACTGGGTCGATGGTTTCCTCCGACACGAGCTCGCCGGGACGTCTCTGTGGCCATATGATATTAGAGGATTTCGCACCAAAGGAAAAGTCAGCGATAGACTTACGAACTTGTCATAATGCTCGGAGCGCAGAAACAGGTCGACGGCCCAATCGGTGACCCCCTTCCAGTGCATCCCCTCCAGACTGCGGTTCCAGACCAGGGCGTGCACGTTCAGAGCGTAGGTCACCTCGACCCAGCGATCGGCCAGGCCGGAGCCGTCCTCAATGATGACCGCCTCGATTTCGATCAGACAGGCGTCCATCCCGCCGCTCTCACCGTGCATCATGGTGATGGCGTCCTCGTGGTCAATCGCGAACACGACCATGCCTTCGACGACATCGTGGTCCTGTCCGGTGAACACCATGAACGGAGCGCCGTTGGGAGTCCGCTCGTACAGCCTGTACCCCACCGCCCGGGCCGGCTGCATCCTACGGGCAAACTGCAGACTGTCCGGTTGGTCACGATAGGCGCGCAGGACGGTGGGAAGCTTGAGACAGCCGTAGACGAAGATGACGCGCTGGTCCTCGTCCGCCAGGAGCTGGTGCAGCTGGGTCAGGTTGAGCTGGTTCTGGTACGCGACCTTGTAGTTGTCGGGGTACCAATGGAAGCACTCCATGTTGTGGGCGGTGCTAGGGCGGCGGTTGACAGCGCTAGGACGGCTGCTCATCTTGGGTCTTTCACGCACAGGAACAGGTTTTCAAAAAAAGGGATAGAGATACAAAGGTACTGGGGATAGTCGGTGGGGAGAAGGAAGGTGAGGATGTGAAGGTGGAGGATGGGGTGCCATCGTGTTACTGAATGCGACATCATGAGGAGCTATGATGTCGTCGCTTAGTCGGCGAGTGTGAGGTAGACCCGCATGGCTGTAGGCAGCGCTCTCACTGCGTGCGTGCGCTGGTGAAGTCTTCCTTGATGCTATACTGGGGCGCTGGGCTAGTACATTCACCAGACCACGTGACTTTGGTACACACTGAACTGGTAAAACAGCCATAAGGCCGCATTGTAGGGCTGGTGAGTCTGTTAGCTATGATTTTGTTCTTCCTTGTGGTTGATTCGTTTCATATCTTGTTCTTTTGCTAACTTACTGAGAGCGAAGGCATCAGCAGAGTTACTATGAACACTGAACACTCTTTCGCCATGATATCCTCCGATAAATGTGAGAAAAACGTGAGAACCACATGTCGAAGAGTCAGATTAAGTAACCAGCGAAGTGGACTGTTCTTGCTTTGCCACAAAATGGAACGATCGACTTGTTAAGCTGGTTGACCAGAATATCTTGATGTGATAGATCGCCCATGATGCCTAAGGCCACGGCACGATACATCGCGTCATGCCTGAGGCATCAGCACAGCAGCTCGATTGGCACCTCTGAATGTCAAAGCCAACAGAAAAGACCAGATCGACCGCTTCAAACACTAGCCAGTCATCAGATCGCTAGTTCGAAGAGCTTCCCCGGGCTTATCAAGCACCCAAAGCAAAGAAGGGCCAGAGGCTGATGATCATTGTGGATACGACCGGCTTCCATGCGGTTCTTCTTCCCCCGAGGCGGTGGCGGCAGGCGGTAGGCGGTGGGTATTTGGGTGGGTGGGTGGCTCAGGAATCTCTGCAAACAGCTTAAGTCATCAATCAGTTCCCGAACAGGCCCTGGCGCTATCGTCACCTCTTAACAACCCGGAGCTCTTCTGCCAACCTACACTCAATCTCACTTCCCATCTCCCTCTCTCCACCCACCCACTCACCCACCTATTCTGCTCTATCACTTTTGCATCTCTCCCCCCAAATTGCGCCATCTCTCAGACGTTTCCTGCTGTCTGCTGGGATCTCTTTCTTCCTTTCCTTATCTTCACTTTTCCTCCGTGCCTGTTACCGAGTTCGCCTAATCCGGTACGGCAACAGTCCTTGCTACCTTTCCCAGTGACTACGTTGCTTTACGCGCCTTTCTTCACACTCCATCACGATGAGCGCAGAGCCAGACCACACTCACGAGAAGAAGAGGGTCAACCTCAAGTAGGCCCCATCCATCAAGATTTCCAGTCTTGCCCCGCATGCTAATACACCATAGTGACCCCTCGGGCGCCGAGAAGAAAGAGGTAAAGACTTTGCCTTCAGACTCCGCAGGGACCTTGTTGGTGATATTGACTTGTTCTCGTTGTTAGGAGCTCGACACCTCGACCGCTATCCTCAAGAAGAAGAAGAAGCCCAACTCTTTGATGTGAGTTTGCCTGCGTCATTTGTTCTGTGGAGCGGGGGCTGCTGGGATACTGACGTGTGTGTGTCAATAGTGTTACCGATGCCGTCAACGATGACAACTCCGTCATTGCCCTCTCCAACAACACGATGGAGACGCTCCAGCTCTTCCGCGGTGATACCGTCCTTGTCAAGGGCAAGAAGCGCAAGGACACGGTTCTGATTGTCTTGGCGGATGATGATCTCGATGACGGCAGCGCTCGCATCAATCGTGTCGTCAGACACAACCTCCGTGTCAAGCACGGCGACATGATCACCGTCCACCCTTGCCCCGACATCAAATATGTGAGTCCAGCCCAACGAGAGCAGGCGGTGGTTGGTGGCTAACCGCGGCTTCTTTGTGTTTTAGGCCAAGCGTATTGCCGTCCTTCCTATTGCCGACACCGTTGAGGGCCTGACCGGCTCCCTCTTCGACGTCTACCTTGCCCCCTACTTCCGCGAAGCCTACAGACCCGTCCGACAGGGAGATCTGTTTACAGTACGAGGAGGTATGAGACAGGTGGAGTTCAAGGTTGTTGAGGTCGATCCCCCAGAGTACGGTATTGTGGCCCAGGACACGATCATCCACTGCGAGGGCGAGCCCATCCAGCGTGAAGACGAGGAGGGCAACCTCAACGAGGTCGGTTACGATGACATTGGTGGCTGCCGCAAGCAGATGGCTCAGATCCGCGAGTTGGTTGAATTGCCCCTGCGTCACCCCCAGCTCTTCAAGTCCATCGGTATCAAGCCCCCTCGTGGTATCCTGATGTACGGTCCTCCCGGTACTGGTAAGACTCTAATGGCTCGTGCTGTTGCCAACGAGACCGGTGCCTTCTTCTTCCTGATCAACGGTCCCGAGATTATGTCCAAGATGGCTGGTGAGTCCGAGTCGAACCTGCGTAAGGCTTTCGAGGAAGCCGAGAAGAACTCCCCCGCCATCATCTTTATCGATGAAATTGATTCCATCGCCCCCAAGCGTGAGAAGACCAACGGAGAAGTCGAGCGCCGTGTTGTCTCCCAGCTCCTCACCCTCATGGACGGTATGAAGGCCCGCTCGAACGTCGTTGTTATGGCCGCCACCAACCGCCCCAACTCCATCGACCCTGCCCTTCGTCGTTTCGGTCGTTTCGATCGTGAGGTTGACATTGGCATCCCCGACCCTACCGGCCGTCTCGAGATTCTGTCGATCCACACCAAGAACATGAAGCTGGGTGATGATGTCGACTTGGAGACGATCGCTGCCGAGACCCACGGTTACGTCGGTTCCGATCTTGCTTCGCTCTGCTCTGAGGCCGCCATGCAGCAGATCCGTGAGAAGATGGACCTGATTGACTTGGATGAGGATACCATTGACGCTGAGGTTCTTGACTCTCTTGGTGTCACCATGGAGAACTTTCGTTACGCCCTTGGTGTCTCCAACCCCTCCGCTCTGCGCGAGGTTGCCGTCGTCGAGGTCCCCAACGTCCGTTGGGAGGACATTGGTGGTCTCGAGGAGGTCAAGCGCGAGCTCATCGAGAGCGTCCAGTACCCTGTCGACCACCCCGAGAAGTTCCAGAAGTTCGGTCTTTCTCCTTCCCGCGGTGTGCTGTTCTACGGTCCCCCTGGTACTGGTAAGACCATGCTGGCCAAGGCTGTGGCCAATGAGTGCGCTGCCAACTTCATCTCCGTCAAGGGTCCTGAGTTGCTGAGCATGTGGTTCGGTGAGTCTGAGAGCAACATCCGGGACATCTTCGACAAGGCTCGTGCCGCCGCCCCTTGCGTCGTCTTCCTCGATGAGTTGGATTCCATTGCCAAGTCCCGTGGTGGTTCCGTCGGCGATGCTGGTGGTGCTTCCGACCGTGTGGTTAACCAGCTCCTGACCGGTAAGTTATTTCGCCTATGCTTCTATAGTTCCTAGCTGACTCGTCCCAGAAATGGATGGTATGACCTCCAAGAAGAACGTCTTCGTCATCGGTGCTACGAATAGACCCGAGCAGCTGGACGCTGCCCTGGTCCGTCCGGGTCGTCTGGACACTCTGGTCTACGTTCCCCTGCCCGACCAGGCCTCCCGTGAGAGCATTCTCAAGGCCCAGCTGCGCAAGACGCCCGTTGCTCCTGATGTCGACATCTCCTTCATTGCCAGCAAGACCCACGGCTTCTCCGGTGCCGATCTTGGCTTCGTTACTCAGCGTGCTGTCAAGCTTGCCATCAAGCAGTCGATCAGCGCCGACATCGACCGCCAGAAGCAGCGCGAGGCCCAGGGTGAGGACGTCAAGATGGAGGATGAGGAGCTTGAGGAGGAGGACCCCGTGCCGGAGCTGACCCGTGCCCACTTCGAGGAGGCGATGAAGTCGGCCAGAAAGTCGGTTAGCGATGTGGAGATTCGCCGCTACGAGGCTTTCGCGCAGAGCTTGAAGAACTCTGGCGGCAGCACCTTCTTCCGCTTCCCTTCCTCGGGTGAGGTGGCGGATAACAACACTTTTGGCGAAGCCGGCAACGATGACAGCCTCTACGACTAAACTGTATCTTTTCATGCTTTGTTTCCTATGCGCAGTTAGTTAGATCAGCGGGGTGAGCCTCGACTAAATCACGTTGGTTGACAAGTACTTTTGTGGCCATTTCTTATTATTCTGGGTGCTAAGATAGTTCTGATCCATTTAATAGCCAAGAAGTTGCTACGATGATTGATTCCGTTAGATGTGGAACGAAGTAATAAAATTTGGTATCTAGAAAATGCAATGCCGACCCTGTTAACACCGGGGGAGAGGTAGGTCCCCATCCGAAAACCATCCAAACGCCAGACGAATGTCCACCAACACCAACTCCCGCCTTTTATCAAAAAATAAGACAGACAGAAGAGAAAGAAGCCCGTAGACCCCTTCATTTCCCCTGCTTAAGCTTCATCTTCTTCTCCCCTTTCTTAACGGGACTCCCACTGGCCCCGGACCCATTACTCTCCCCATACTTCACCCCCTTCACGCGATCCTTCTGCCCTGGCGTTTTCGTGGTCGTGGTGGTGGTGTGTTCCTTGTCCTTATCCCCACCATCCCCGGCCGCCGCAGACGAAGAAGAATCCCCGACCCCATCCCCATCCCCCTCGAGCACCACCACCTCGCGCAGAACCTCCTTGATTGCGCGCACGCCCTGCTCGACGACCGCCGAGGGGATCCGAACATCCACCGTCTCGAAATACGCGGCGTTGTTTGCATTGCCGCCGTTGTTTGCATTGCCGCCGTTGTTGTTGCTGCTGCTCTTCTTCCCGTTCGCGTGGGCGTCGTCGCCGTCGTCATCTTCGTCTTTAATGGTTGCACCGTTGTTCTTGCTGGTCGCGGCAAGGAGGGACGGATGGCGTCGCCCCTCGGCGGAGGCGACCACCGCTTCGATGACCTCGTCGAACCGCTCGCACCGTCCCCCGCGGAGCAGCTCCTGGGCTAGGCGCCGGATCTTCTCGGTCCACCCCGTGCGTTGAAGGGCGGCGAGGAGCGTGCTGTGGAGGTCGTCGAGGGCCGGGGTGGTGAGGAGGTGCGTTAGCAGGTCGGTTTCGAGGTCGGTTTGGGTGGTGGGTGGGGAGGGGCGGGGGTTGGTTGTCATTGTTCCGGTGCTGGAGTTTGGATGTTGCGGTTGAGATTGGGGTTGTACAGTGCTGCAGATTGTGGGGGAGAGGGGGGGTTTTGTTGGTGTGGGTGGTGGTGGCGTGTTTCGAGGGAGGAGTTCAGGGTTATCGTCTTTTGAAGGTGGTGGGTTTGTTGCTAAGGTGGATTATTTGTTGCAGAAGGGTATGTGTGTCTTGGTAATGGGTTGAGGGGTCGTGTGCTGTACTATGTACAACAGTACTTGTACAAACGGGTTGAGGTCAGGTCGGAGGGGAAATTGCGCTGCGGGCTGCTGCGGGCGGCGGAGGAGCTGGATGCGCTGGGCTGGCTCCAGTCCGGAGCGGATAAGCCGTCAATCAGTCAGATCAGATCCTCTACCCGCCGATGGACGTATCAGTCCCGGCGCTTGTGTCTTTACTTATATGGTACTTTTCAGTTAAAACCAGGCGCGATGCAACCTGGTAAGAATAGTGCGAAGGATTAGGAGTATGAATGTGTTGCTCAATGTAGACTTCTTGATAGCAGCTGGAAATAACTTGACCCAGTTGCTTACTCGAGTGCTTTGTGAATTAGTGACTGTGATCAGAATATATAAACCGCCAGTAATTGTTGTACATCCTTATTGTCATTGTTGATTGTCCCGGGTGTTACAACCCACTTCAAGCTGTCTCGAAGTTACAGTCTCAACACACAGCATTGCAAACTCATTCACAGATTGACAATATAACCCTGCATCAGTCCACGCACAACCCAGCCCGGACATACCCTGCCCAAGGCTTCAATCAGGGTACCGCGATAATAATAGCACATCGTTGCCATTGCCCCCCGGTAGCGCCCAGCCGCCGGTTGGGGGGCACCAAGACCACGATGCAATCATTGCGCCGGAGATACTAAGTACAACCTTGAACTCGACCTTACGTACTACAGTCGCCGGCTTGCAGGAGAGGGCTGGCTCCACTATGCCCAGGAAAACCTTACCTATCGATAACACCGGTCCGTGGTATTCCATGCTCGAAGCCGCCAGACGATTTAATCGGGGCTCCGAGGCAGCGTGCCGCGATGGCTGGGAGGGAGGGAGCAGGCCACCACATGTTCGTGTAATGTCGGTTTAGACGCTTGTTCGACCTCCATCCGAAGCCTCCCTTGCTCGGCTTGCCAAAAGGTGGTAGATAAAGGCTGATCTTTGGTGGCAAGGTGTATGTGCTGTATTAAGTGCATACAGTGCCGTGCAGATATCCACAGGAGATTGATGCAATATGTTCCGGTCGGGGGAATGGGTCTGTTTCCGAAGACAGCAGTGGAGGGAGGGATTTGCTCGGCATGGAGACCGTTGAATGGGCTTTTCTCGGATGTCAGTACTTACTGAGTACTCAAAATGTCAGGGAACTCGACGGAGGATGAGTAGATTAATGTGGAGATCCAATGGGTTGGCTTTTCCACCCCTGTCGGTGCGAAAGTGTACTATGGAGCCTAGTCGGGGTGCTTTAGTGCAGTGACCGTTGACATTGACGTTGACGTTGACCCATCCGGGCTGGTATAGTAACCTAGTACGCATAGATCCGGAATTGATATTCTGTGAAGGGCAAAGAAAAGACAAATTTTTCTCACCTTGCGTGGAGGCTACGGTAGGTACTTCAGTACAATGTTTCTGCCTGAACTTGGTCTCTGTGACTAGTTCACTGGAGTTGTAGATGCTGCAGCGTGGTGATGGCCCGAATGTAGCCGGGCATTTGTAGACGATTACAGAGACAATCACATTCAATTTACCACAATCTTGTCTTAGAGGATGATAATCAATACGAGCAGCGCAGACCTCGACCACGGCCAGATCGTATCTTCTAGAAGGAGTTTATTTCCCTCGGCCCCTCCATCAAAGACATTGACTTCAACTCGACTCCGAGGTCCTCAGACTCCCGACCCAGAAAAGGGGGGGTTTTTCTATTTACCTATTAAGATCGTTTCCGGTTGATATAGGGCTGGCAAAGACATCCCAGCCCGACAAAACATCACCATTGGCCAACATGGCCAGAATCCATAGTCGCCAATAATTCAGTCAGTTAATGAGGGCGCGCGTTAATAACTTAAAAAAGAGTGCGAGAAGAATAGTCAAAAATAAGTCAGAAAAAAAGCCATGGCACGATGACGGCGGCGGAGAGCGAAAGGCCCCAGTTCCCCAAAAACGTCAAGGCTCCGGCACTATTGGATTTTTGACATGGCAGCAGCACAATATCGTGGGAGGAGCTTTCGGCTCTTTTCCCTCGGTTAGTCCGAACTTGGGATCGAAATAGTTCCCTCGCTAGTCTCCCCCATAATCCAGGGGAGAAGAGACATTTGTGGGCTTGGCGCCGACACTAATTCTATATCGAAATCGGAATATTGGGGGTTGATACGGGATAGTTGAGCTTGGATGTGGTGGTGGTGGTAGTAGTGGAAGTGGTGGATGAACTCGGGAAAGGGGGAAGTGATCATGGATCCTATTAGTATGGATCGTCTTGGGATGGAGATGATAGAGGATAGACTATAGACTAATGAGTGGTTTTTTTTCAGGGGAGGGATAACGGTGATATTGCCCCAGTGGGGATATCCTCAGTGCTTCGATTGCATGTTGTGTGCGAGTGTGCGATGGAGCAGGTGGAGGATAGGATAGATAGAGATAACTTATAAGTGTTCCCTCCCAAGTCAGTGGTCCAGACCGCGGGAGATCACGTGCGGCGATCCAAGCATCGAAGCGCCTCTTTTTCCCTTTCGGCGGTTCGTTCGCTACTCCGCGCCCAACCAGCTGCCTCGCTGCTTGCTGCTTGCTGCTGCTGCTGCTGCTGCTGCTGCTGCTGCTCCTCCTCTCACTTTCAACTTACCTGCTTCTTCCTCCTTCTCTTCTTCTTCTGCTTCCTTTTTATTATTTGTTCAGTACCATAGAGAAATTTCTCTTCTCTCTCTCTACCATCCTCGTTCTCTTCCACCTTCATTACCTCCACCGTGGCCGTCATCACATTTCCGATCTCCTCATCCTTCCCTCTTCCCCCCCAGCTTCCCCGCTCTGGCTGCATGCCTGTGATTATTAGCCTTGTTGGCCTCAGGAACTCCACTCCACCCTCGCAATTACGGCCATCATCCACCACTCGCCGTATTCCTCTTTCGCCTTGAAGTTCTGACTTCTACTGTCGTCAACGGCTGTCTCCTGTCTATCCCCCACATCTCATCCCAGCCATCTCCAACCACCCCCGCCGTATCTGACACGAGCCGCTTTCCGACCCGGAACCTCGAATCCTGAAACTCATCACCGGCGCTATTGAGAGTGCCTCCATTGTTCGCCCAGAATCCATCCAAGACAGTCTGATACCTTTCGATCGTGCTCCCTCCATCCTAACTTCGCCCGTGCTACACCGGCGCCGTCTCATTCACCCCCCCAACCGGTCCGACGTCCATCCCCTCCCTCTTCGTGCTGGGCGTCGTTGCCGGTCATTGATCCTTATCCACCATGTCTCTCCACACCTCCTACCACGCCGACTCCGATGCAGACGACGAGTACGAACGCAGTGTCATCACCTCCCCTCACCTAGCCACTGACTCGGAAGCCTCCCCCTCCGAGTCCGAGTTTCCCTCCGCCGAACATACCCCGACCACCCTGGCCAATTTCGACGATAACCCTCGCTCGCCTAAGACAATTATTACAGAATGGACGGCCGAAGAGAGCGCACATTTTGTTGCCGCTTTAGGCCTGCGTCAGTACTGCGCGGCTTTTCTAGGTGAGTCGCTTCGATGATATTCCTCGGCGCGGCCAAGGTTTATCATCCGTGCTGACTCTTGGGTTCTACAGAGAACGAAATCGTTGGCGAAGCGCTTATCGCACTCAAACATGACGAATTGAAAGAGATGGGTATCGCTAGTGTGGGGCACCGCTTGACCATCCTCAAGAGTGTGTACGAGACCAAGGTTAAGCAAGACATTCCGCTGGACGCCGATCATTACATTCCACTCTGTACGTGTGTTCCTCGACTGGCTACTGGAATAGTACGCTGACGTTCGATTGCATAGCTGCCGACCAAAGTATGAACGAAGGTGCCACTCAAGACGATGTCGCTCGTTTGATTCAGTCCATCCGATTGCGAGACGAACGCATAGTCACCGTGGAGGCAGAGTTGCGGCGCATGGCAGACGACTATCGCCGGTTGCGAGAGGAACTCCTACCCGTCTTCAAGATGGCCAAGGATCGATCGCAACCGCTGCCACCCCCATCGGCGGTCCCCGCACCTGGCACAGAAACCTATCACGAGCCCCCGAATCTGACTTCGCCCTCTGGAATCACGCTCTTGGATCGCTCGGGGTCGATTCTCTCGAGAACATTCTCTAAGAGAGGACACACCGGCGGGAATACCCCCAAAACCAGCTCACCCACTTATATCCCACCTTCCATCCACGAAGGACGCATGTATGGGGACGGCGGTGGCTTGGATCCGTCCACGGCAAACTCATCCCACATGGCTATGATGAACGGAAAGGCCCAGTTATCGCCAGGAATCCCGTCGCCGACCTCTCCAGGCAACCTCCACACGCAGACTCTAGCTTCACGGGCCTACTCACAGCCTAGTTCGGCCAGTATCAACCACGCCTCTCACAACCACCACGACGACACGCCTCCGACCCAATCCCGCTCCGACCGATTAAATCCTACCCCAACGCAAGCCACGCGCCCTGACATCCCGACACGGTCAGACTCTCGAGCAACTGGGGATCCCCCGAGCGTGGAGATCTTCAAGTCTTTCCGAGTATCGTTGGATGACCCCTGCCATAAAGTCCTCCCCGCCGCTTTGAAGAAGTACAATATCAACGCGGACTGGAAGCAATACGCACTGTATATTGTCTATGGTGACCAGGAACGATGTCTCGGGCTAGAGGAGAGGCCGTTGATCTTGTTCAAGCAACTTCAGAACGAAGGACGGAAGCCGATGTTCATGCTGCGGAAACAAGTCCATCCACAGGAGAACAACATGTATCCCACCGGTAGCGGGTCAGCGCCGAATAGTGCTGGTTTCGAAGGGCGACAAGCTCAAATCAATCTACCCGGCGGAGTTTTGTGAGCCTTTCTTGATGATGAAAGTGTTCTGCTTTACTTTCTTGCTTGAGATACCCCAGGCACCTCTGGTGCCCCACTACTTTCCCACCCCCTCTTTCATCCTTCTTCACCCCGCCTACCTAGCCTCTACATACCTTGACATTTCTCCTTCTCACGAGTCCTTATCTCTTTGGCGTGCATACGTGTCTCACAATATGGCGTTGGGCTTGGCTTCAGGATAACGCGGAACCGGAAAAGCAAAGCATATGGACACAGCGTGGTGATTTCAGGGTCCATTTCTATTCTCATTCTTGTTCATATACTTTACATCTATATTTACCCTAATCCGTGTCTCGATATGAGTATGTCCGACCCTATTAGCAACATGTTAAAATGTTATAGCTTGCTCGTATTCCGTGCTGCTAGTCTTGCCTGGACTCTACACCAAGTAAGTACTCCGTCTCGTTTCTGCTTGACTCCCAAAGTCGAGGATCTCCCATGTATATACTGTAACCCACCCGAAACCGCCAGAGCATCATCATCACTTCTATCTGCAGCCGTGCCATGAGGATGCCCCATCCTCCGGCGTCACAGTAGAATCGCAAATGACATGACACCTTCATGACACCTTCCCCCTTCGCAAGCAGACAAAAAGAATGCTGCGACTGGGTCTCGATCAGAACCTGCACTCCCACCGTCGCACCAGGCTCCCGGCGCTCTGCAATCTCAATACTACCGCGGCTGTTGTACTGTACACTATATACCAAATCATGCCCGTGTCAGGTAGCTAGGTTAGGGACAGCACGCCCCTCCCTACAAGATATAAGACTGGGTTTGTATAAGGAGATGGATTTGGGGGGGAGGACCCGAATGAAGGTGCAATTTTGATCACCATTTGAGAGTTGATGTTATGTTCATCGTCTATCATCAAGTCTTTTTCTCGGAAGAAGGATTTCTGGAATGGTGTTGCGATACACTTCGCACTTGCATCCTGCATCTTCCTACTTGAAGAAGCTCATAAGTACGGGAGGTGCTGATTTCATAGCATCTCATTGTGTTGCGGGCAGCAGCTGTGGGCGTATTTTGCTCCCACACTCAACAGAAAACCTGTCACTGTGGTGGTGGTGGTGGTGGTGGTGGTGGTGGTGCATATGGCATAGTATACTCAGATCAGGCGCTCAATCTGTTGTTCTCATCATCGGTTTTGCCTTCCTGTTGACGACTCAGTCTGCTTTATGCCATCGTGACCGCAGCAAAGCAAGCACCTACCTAAAGATTTGAACTTAATGCAGTGAGCTAGCGACTGAAGATCATCATCTCTGGGAAAGCTCACATCAAGTGAGGAAAAAACAAACCTCATGATGTCCGTCAACGCGCAGGTCGCTTTTCCTCGAAACACCATGAGCTCCGACCATGTCCGCCAAAAAGAAAAAAAAAAAAAAAAAAAAAAAAAAAAATAAAAGAAAGACAAAGAAAAGCCTGCTCGGTAACAAACGCCTTCAAATAGATGCTCAGAGGGTGTCCTCGTTCGACAGGATGCAAGAATGAAAGTAAGGGGCACTTCCCCCCGAGGTCTTTCTATGAGAACCTCCGACAACTGCCACCGCAACAGCTGCAACAAAACAAAAGCAGATGCAAGAGAAACTTTCATGTATGCCTTTAGCTAGCCAAGTTGTTCTCAGTCGACTAGCCCCTCCCCCTTTTCCCCTGCCACCGCCACCACAATGTCCTTCGCCGTCACCAAAGATTACCCCGAAAAAATTCCCCTTCAAGCTGACCAAATCACGGTGGTACCTGACGCTATTGCGGCTGATACCAGGAATAACAGGAACGTTCTAACAGATATGAATTCTGACCCCATTTTGGCTGTGGGAAACTCTTTGCTAACGTTCTCGTGTCTCTGTTGAAAACCCGAGAACAAATAGCACTAACGCAGCGTTAAAGATCACATATCGTCCTGAAATTGAGGCACACTACCTTGTAGTGCTAGAAGCATCATTCAACTTCAGACCACTGCTGAATAGAGCCTTCCTCTCGCCATATGCCTCTTTGGCGTCATCTAAGAGATATGTACCTGTTGAGCCGTTACTTCAGCCACAGCAGTGAGACTGTACTGTTGAGCGGGTGAGACGGACCTGCCACGACGTGTGCATGATCAAGCTATATGCGCACCAGGAATTGCAAGGGGCGAACGCATAGACTGCATATCATATATTCTCATCTTAGTGGGGTGAGTAGCGTGATCTACCTATCGATCGCTGGTTACTATACTAGGAAATCAATTACCTTCGGCTATGGTATGTACTACGGAGACACAATACATGTAGATCTTCTGATATTAAGATTGCAACTGTCTGCGGCAGCGTGAGTCTAGCAACGCACTTTGCCTTGTTTGTACACCAAGATGCTGTGGCTTACAAGGTAGAAAGCTTCCTGTATGAGGTAAGGGGTCTCTATAAAGGTACACGTCATATCCAGTGAATCAGGACATTCAGCTTATATAAGGCAAGACTTGTTTAATCCCTCCACATTGCATATCCCACAAGTTCGAGCAAAGAAGTTCAACTATAATCTCGAGAAATGCTTGGACCAAAGCTGGCAGTCACCAACATGGCTGGTCCCGCGGATCGTGAGAAGGACCAGTGTCCTGAGAGCACGATCCTTGCAATGGACGACCCCAGCAAGCCCTCGCAGGAATATGCCCCCGCAGAATGTTGGCCGATGGCGAGGAAGGTCTGGGTGACATTCGTTATATGGTAAGTGCATGTCTGCTCCAAACAGACGCAGGATTTGACCCCGGTTAATATCAAGGAGTGCAGTTTCTACACATTTGTAGTGTACTGTGGATCCTCTATTGTTGTCCCATCATATGGATACATGATGCTCCAGTATCGCATCTCGGAAGAGAAGGTGTCCCTGATGTTGGCGATATACATTGTGGGATGTAAGTGGCGCCCACCCACCTCTTTGGCTTCATGAAATTTGGTGAATGATGTTTATGGAACCTTCGAATAGATGCCGTGGGACCCCTGGTGTTTGGTCCAGTAAGCGAGATTGCAGAAATCGGACGCAACCCTCCATACATCATATCATTCACACTGTTCGTCATCATCTCTAGCCTTATCTGGGTGCTGGATAGCTTCCCCGCAATTCTTGTATTCCGCTTCCTCCAAGGATTCTTTGGGAGTCCAGGCCTCACTACTGGTGGCGCCACATTGCAAGATATGTTTGGTGCAAGAAGTGCCCCAATCGCATACATATTCTGGGTGTTGGGCTTTAACTGCGGTCCTGCCCTGGGCCCCTTGATTGCCACGTTCGCTGTCCACGAAGATTGGCGCTGGCCATTCTGGGAAATCATCGCCATGTCAGCACCATTGCTTCTGGTCCTCCTGTTCCTCCTTCCGGAAACCAACCCCGAGACGCTCTCCATACACGGTGCACGGCGAGCAAGTGGCTCTCACAGGTTGCTGCGAGGGCCCAAAGCATTCCTCATGCAAGTGACAGCAATGAGAGCTCTGCCAACCCAGATGGTGAAAGACCGGTTCCTCGATGCCCTCGTCAAGCCACCGGAAATCACCCTCAAAGACCCTGCCATGGCCTTCTGCTCCCTCTACACCTCCCTCATCTATGCCATCTATTACTCGTTCTTCGAGGCCTTCCCGCTCACCTATCCCAATGTCTACGGGTTCTCTGCCGACTCCACGTGTCTGCTGTACGCCAGCATGTTGGTCGGATGCGTGATCGCCGCAGCCATGTACGGATACTACTATACTCGATACACCTGGCACACGGGACTGGACAGCTCCAACCTCGAGCTCCGGCTGATCCCCGCGATCCCCGCCACCGTGCTGGTAACCGTGGGTCTCTTCCTGTACGCGTGGACCTCCCGGGCGTCCGTCCACTGGATTGTCCCCACGATCGGCGTTTCAATCTACTCTGGGGCCACGTTTGTGGTATTCCAGGCGCTGCTTTGCTACATCCCCCTCGTCTACCCGCGTTACGTCTCCTCGCTGTTCGCGGCCGCGGACTTTGCTCGCTCGACCCTGGCGGCGGGGTTTGTGATGTTCTCCCGGCCCATGTACCTGAGCATTGGGATCCAGAAAGCAGTCTCGATCCTCGCCGGCCTGTCCGTTCTGGGGATCCTGGGGGTGTTGGTTCTTTTCTTCTATGGCGCCAATCTGCGGGCTCGCAGTACGTTTACGGCTTGAATGTTTGTTTCGGTAGGGGTTTAGATTGTAATTGGGGAGATGGTCACTCGTGTATTGACAGGGAGAGTATCTTGGAGGGAGAATGGGGAATGATGGGATGATGCCATGTTGTTGATAGATGAGCTCCGATCCATGGAAAGGAGAGTACTGTTTTGTTTCTCCTGCAGTAACGAGTCTTGGAGTCAGTCATGGGTGACTGGGGCCTTTCTCCAGGTCACCCGCCCCTTGCGTCGTGTCTAGATAAATTCGTTCGTTGTCACACTCCTTTCTCTTCGTATTAACTCTTCGGTTCTCATCGCCTCCCAGTAACGAACTTTACTTTTGTTGAGCCGTCTGCTAAGCTGAGCGAGGAGATCACTTGACCGTCACTTTCTGCGAGGTGTCGTTCATGGGAAACACTTTACGGAGGATGTATGATCATCTCCACACATGGCTACGGGAGAGACAACGTTGAAGGGCAGGAGAAGACTGAACCATATATAAAAGTGAATGCAAGATCTGACCAGGCATCGAGTTTACATCATATATGACACCAATAACTCTCCGCACAGCAGTGGAGATTTGATCCACTTAGCAGGATTCACTTGAACAATCCATGTCCCCCAGCTACTCCCCGCTGCACCGAGAGTAGACCAATCTCGCCAACACAAACTTGCCCGCACGATTAGCCACAACGATCCGACGAGTGTGGTACCGCTTGCCATCGATGATCTCGAAGCCCCAGATCTTTCATTTTTGTGCGCAAAAAGGTACCAAAATCAGTCCACTGCTCCAAAGCGATAATGATAGGAAGTGATCCTGAATTTACCTGCTCTGCCGTCCACCCGGAACTCTCATTGCTAGCATACACATGCACCCACCAGCCTTTTGGCGTCGAAGAATCGTTTCTATTTAGTGGTGGTGATGGTGATGATGGTGATGATGATGATGGTGATGATGATGGTGATGATGATGGTTCCGCCACAAACCCATCCGAACGACCCCCATCCGGGAGGATCTCACCCACAAGGAAGTCTCCGATCCGACGATCCGGCAATGCTGTCTGCAGTTCGAAATCTGGTTGTTCCTGTTGCTGGTGGTGGTTGTGGTGCCCATCCGGATGCAGTAAAGTTGTTACCCTTCCGCCCACCAGCCGACTGCGGTGCCTGACGGCGCCGAAGATGTAGTCTGAGTGGTCCTGCCAGGTCCAATCCACGGTGCGCCTTTCCGTGGTCCCCGCGCGTCCCCCCGGGATTACCTGGGCGCAGTTGATCTTCAGGACGGACGAGCCGCCCGAAGTCGGAGCGTCGGGATGGTCTTCGTATGCTGAGATGTGGAGGCGGACGGGGGCCAGCGCGAGCGCCTTACGGACTAGAAATCCGATGCCTTGCTTTTTGTTTTTTCTGTCTGTCAGCATCCGAGGAGATTCTCAACAATGGCAGAGGACCTCCCCCCCTGTGGGTTTCTAGCGGATGTATGTACCGGGGAAGCTAGAATGTACATACCAGTTTTAGGAGAGGGTCTATCTCGCTGGAAAGAGCGCGTTCCTAGACACGGATGGACAGTGCAAGTGAGAGGGCTGGTCAGAAGGAAGGAAAGTGTTCTAAGGTTGAGCCTTATTGGATGACTGAATGGACTCACCATCACCCAGGTGCCATTGAGACTCTGGATCACCGTATCAAAGTAATTCGCCATGATGCAAACAAACGTGCAGGCAATTCTCTCTCTCTCAGTTGTCCGAAATCTGCTTCAGGATTTGGGGGACCGCTCCCCCAAAAGGCTATCGAGATGGAATTATATTGCCCATGATCGAGAAGATGACGAAGATGGTGGGCAGTAACTACGATGCTTGCGCTAACATACCTCCTACGGTAGTCACACGAAAAGCGGCTACTTGTTTCGATCCTCATAGCCAGGTTGATCAAGCAAATTGGGAGACTAGTAGCACTGTAGGAAGCAAGGGAGGTCTGTGGGGTCTGTGGTGTGTACGGCAGGCCAAAAGAACGCTGTAGGCTGTGCGAATCGCCCGCTGGATAGGTCTACAGGCTCAATCCAAACGGGGGGAATTCTGGTTTTGGAAACTCTACGGAGTACTCTGATTGACTGCGGTAAAGGGGATCAACGTAAAGGCGGCTTATGTTGGAAGGCAGGGGGTGGGCAATTGTGATATGTCGTTTTATAGGTCCGGTATTGTGTAGTTTACAGTGCTCTGCAACTAAACTTAGCCCTCGCCCTTCGATGAACGATCGGTGTTACCTAGTAACTACTCACAACTACCTAAGTAAGTCCTTGGCGGTGGTGACTCACCTCTTTTCCACCTTCGATAGAAGGTGGCATTCCTTGATTGGCTGAAACAATTTCCTTACCATCGGAGGTTTCATGGGAAAGTGCAATCCTGTTGTTGGTTTGCCTGACAGGTCGTTTCTCGATTTTCGGGAGCTGATGCAGGAGCCGACTTATGGTTTATGCACGGAATGTGTCAACAGCAGATACCGTTATGCATATCCAACCTACTAATAATGCTTCTGGCGATCCCTGTCAATCCATTGACATCCTAGACTGTCACGGGAGTGCATTTGGACCAATGCCTGTGACCCTGTCGAGTTGTTCTACTCCCTACTCCGTAGGACTCCCCCGTAAGGGTCATCCATTTTATTGTAAACCTTCGGTACAAACATATCTACGTACACGAGAGGACCTGTCACATGCCTCATATTTTCAGCACTCATACTTTGTAGACTGCTGAAATTCCCCCCCACCAGATATTGGGATCGGTACTGATCAGTTGAGCACTTAAGTATGGTGGTGTCTGCTGCGCAGGTAAGACTGTATTCCATTGAAAACAATCACCATCTGATCCCTTATGGCTCTTCACGGTACATTCCCGAACCACGGAGGGGCAGTTCATTTTGGGCTGCCGTTCTATGGATGGACTCCTACCGTCGCCGACAAATCTGGATCTCGTCCCCGTTTCCAGTTGGCTGCAGACGTTGTGGAAGCCGGCACGCCCACATATACCTCCCGGCTGACAATGGACTCTCCCTTTGGCCGCGTAATGCAAGGTGAAACCATCCCGATCATGACGGTTGCAATCTACCTTTTGGCGGTCTTCTACATGAACCGCAGAAACCGAGGTCGCTCGCACAAGCCCTGGATCTCTACAACCGGGGGGTGGGCCGGGACTATGATTGTTGCCTACAACTCCGCCCTAAGTGCCTTCTCCGCTTGGATCTTCCTTTCCTCTTTCCGGGTCCTGCAACGGCGCTGGCCCTCCAGCAACGACCCCGACTATGCCTCGCGCGCCGTGGACATCCTCTGCAATGTTGACGGGGGGCATTCCAACGGGTTCCAGCCGAGCCGTGACCATCCCGGCCGCAGCAACAGCATCGCCTACTACACCTGGCTGTTCTACCTCTCGAAATATGTCGAACTCGTCGACCACGTGATCACGCTGACCAAGGGCAAGGAGGTCTCCTTCGCGCATGTCTTCCATCACTCCGGGGCGATCCTGGCTCTCTGGGTCGCCGTCCGATGCGCGGAGGTCGGCCGGTTGGGGGTGGCCTCCCTCGCCGGGATGATGGCCAACACCGCGTTTCACACCGTCATAGTACGTTCATCTCCACCGCCCAACTCCCACAAGTTGGCACTTGGCGTGTAATGAACTGACTATTTGCGCTTCTGTAGTATTCGTATTACGCTATTACATCCCTCCGCGTGCGTGTTCCCCGCGTGATGAAACGCACCCTGATCGCCCTGCAGATCGCCCAGTTCATCCTGACCCTGGTGGTCACCACGGGGAGCTTTCTGACCAAATACATGGCCCCCATGCCCGCGGGCCTAGATTACCCTCCCCCGGGGCAGTTCGCCTTCGCGGCCGCGGAGGAGGTTGGCAGATTCCACCTTCCCGGACAGAATGGGTCGGGAACCGGACTCATGATCCCGGTCCCCTGCTTGCAGACGACGACCGAAGCATTCACCAGTTTCCTCGGGGCGGTCTATGTCATGGCTCTTCTCTTGGTCATCTAGAGAGAGAGATTTGTTTGTGGTTTGTGGTTGTGATTAGGCCTGTCAAAATCAAGTTTGAGATGTCGCTGCGATTTTCGGGTCCTAGGCTTGAAGCGCGGCTTCCGGGACCAGAATTCAAGCATTGTTCATGGCGAAGCGAAGAAGTTATTAAGATAGTGCTTCCTCAAGATCTACCGATTACGACAACATCCTTCTTCTTCAAGTTGCAGACGTCACGGGGAAGGGGGCTGAAAGATACTATCACTAGAGGTTAGGGCTCAGACCATCTACAGAGTGTACAGTACAAACGGACCGATTTGGGTTGAGTTCACTGTAGCAAAATATGCTTCTCTTCCTGGAGACTGAAAGTGTAGGTATATCTGATAGCTCTCACGGATATCAGCTGTCATCCTTGGCCACTCTGCATCTGCCCTGCACATGAAGAACCAGTACTGCCGTGTCACAACTGCAAGGGCTCCGGGTCGGGGTCACCTGCATGCATAGGTAGTTCTTCGCATTCGCCCCTTAGACTATTCCATGATCTGCATCGGCAGGACGAAAATTGCGGTGAATCTATCCGGGGAAACCCTGGAGATACATCAGACTAGGTCAGGCCGGGAATTAAAAGCCCCTCGATTCATGGCCCAACATCACCCCTAGCCATGACCACGCTGTTTCAAAGCAACCCAAAGGATAAGTTAATGGATCTCAAGCCGAAAGTCGTCGTCGTAGGCGCCGGTCCGGTGGGATCACTGGCAGCACTTTATGCCGCCAGCCGAGGATATCAGGTGGAAGTCTACGATCTACGGCCAAGTAAGTGTCTGATTCTGTTAATGCTCGGAATAGATCCCCTAAAATGGATTTATCTAGACCCATGTCTTTCGACGAACTCCGACCCTCAACCAAGGGCTTCGGTCAGTCTCGCACTCTCGGAACGAGGACTCCATGCCATCAAGACCTTGAATCGAGCGGGTCTGATGGAGACCGTCCTGGACTGCACGATTCCTCTGTATGGTCGAATGATCCATGGTCACTCTCGGACCGGCAAACCCTGGGAATCATCCCAGGCATACGACGTGTTGGGCAGGGTAGGCTTCGCATTCCTTCCTTCGTCCGATTAGCCCCCGAGCGAGCTCTCACGGTTCTCCTTTTCGTTTTGCTCTAGTTCATCTACTCGACCGATCGCCAGCGGCTGAGCCAGGTTCTGAACAGGGAACTCGCGAGCGTCCCCAACATCAGCGTGTTCTTCAATTCCAAATTGATGCGAGTGGACTTCGACAAGAACCGAGCATATTTTGAGCGAGTCCCAGGCCCTGGGTTCACGCAGACTGAGGAGCCGAGCGCCTCGCCGCACGAAGTCCGCTTCGACTTCATGATCGGGGCGGACGGGATCCACTCGAAGACGCGACAACAGCTGATGCGATACACCCGGATGAGCTACCAGCAAGTCTACGAAGACCTGCTGTGGTGTGAATTCCGGATGCCCGCGACCAGCACCGGCCATTACCGCCTGTCGCCCCAGCACCTCCATCTTTGGTCGCCGCGGGCCAGCGAAGACGGGAGCCACCGGCGCCTGATGTTTGTCGCCTTCCCCTCGTCGGACGGCTCCTTCAACTGCTCGCTGTTCGCGCCCTCGGCCTGCTTCGCTCGACTCTCGCAGTGCCCCGACGACGGCAGCGTGCCGGCCTTCTTCGACCGTCACTTTCCAGGCATCTCGGGGACGCTGATCGCGCCGGCCTCCCTGCAGGCGCAGTTTGCCGCCCACCCGCATGTGCCGCTAATGGACATCAAATGCTCGCACCTGCACTACGGGGCCAGCGTCGTGATCGTGGGCGACGCCGCGCACGCCGTCCTGCCGTTCTACGGCCAAGGGCTGAACGCGGGGCTGGAGGATGTGCGCCTGCTGTTTGAGACGCTCGACCGCCACGCCGGGGCGCGCGCCCCCGCCTTCGCCGCCTACAGCGCCGCCCGCCTCCACGACCTCCATGCCATTTACGACCTATCGCGGGGCAACTACCACGAGCTGCAGGAGGGCGTCAGGTCGCCCTTCTACCGCCTCCGCAAGGCCATCGAGGAGGCCCTGTGCAAGTACCTGCCCGCGCTGGGCTGGGCCACGCAGTACGCCCGCGTCAGTTTCACCAACGAGCCCTACAGCCAGATCGTGAAGTCGTCCCACCACCAGAAACGCATCCTGTTGGCCGGTTGCCTTCTCGTGGTGGTCGTTTATCTTGCCTGGGTGAGCTTCTTCGTCTTGTTGTATGCTCGTGGAATGGTGTAATCTACTACAACAACCAACACACCACTTATTACACACACTCTCTCCTTTTTCTTTCCCTTCTGGTTCCCAGTCACCGGGGAAATCTGTCTTGTTTTAGCAAACATTTTTCAAAGTACTCAGAATCTAGGGCCCCAAACTGTGAGTTTCTGGGTGCGAACTTGCCGGAAGTCCTTGAAGAAATCAATTTCACCGGTCGTAGCAACTACGTTAACTTAACTTACCGGTATTGACGTAAGAATAAAGCCCTGGCTAGCTTCAGAATCTGCACTTATCGCCGAGGTCTCTGGCAGCAGCAGCCGCCGCCGCCACCAACAGTCGATCGCGACCTTTTCCGTGGTAGAATCAATCATGTCGAATACCCGGAAGTCTGCTTGATGATCGTTGATGAGTCTCTTCTTAGCAACACGCTAAATGGATGACCTCGACAACATGCAAGGGTATAATCAATAATAGCGATCCGTGGGCCGTGTCTGCACGAGGTACCCTATGCATTGGAAGGTTTTTTCACTTCAATAAAACCGACGATCCATCTTCTCTTGGGTCCGTCGAATCCGGATAGCGTCCCAGTGCTTAGGGTTACTGGGTAGTTAGATAGACGAACGCATAATACCTAAAGCATGCTGGTCTGATATTAATATTCGATCAAGCTCCATGTTGCCCGGAGATTGTCCTATTCACCCCCCCCCCTCCCCCAACATGACGCGGCCCGTTCCAGTTCTCTCCGACTATGACATCTCCCCCAGCCACGGCTTTCTGGCGCTTGAAACACCAGCTCTTCGCCATCCATACTATGCCAAATGGGAGGAAGTCGTGCGCGACCTCGATGCACTGTTGCAGGCCAAAAAACTGCGGCACACCATCGGGCATCTCCCCGTCCTCTCGACCGACTATTTAGAAACACCAGCCGAGTGGAGGCGAGCGTACGTCTGCCTGACGTTCATGCTCAATGGCTATGTGTGGGGCGAGGAAAAGCCCGAACACGTAAGATAGCGAGGGATCCTCCCCATTTCCCTTGACGAGCGTAACTGACCACCAGCAAGAGAATCCCTCCTCCGCTCACCGTTCCCCTTCTCAAAGTCTGTCGCCACTGGGAGCTACCCCCGATCGCGACATACGCGGGCCTTTGCCTGTGGAACCATCAGCACCCCGTCCAAGGTCTACCGTGCCCTCAACCCGAGGATCTGGTCGTGTCGTGCACATTCACCGGCACCGCGGACGAGCAGTGGTTCTACCTCATATCGGTAGCCTTCGAGGTCCAGGGAGCCCCCGTGATCCCGTTGATGCTCGACGCAATCGCCGCTGCGCGCACCTGCAACACCGTCCAAGTCACGCGCTCCCTGCAAAGATTTGCCCAGCATCTCGAGGCGCTGACCTCGCTTGTCGATCGCATGCACGAGCGGTGTGACCCCAAGATCTTCTACCACCGGATCCGACCCTTTCTCGCCGGGAGCAAGGCCTTGGGTAGCGGTGGCCTCGTCTACGTGGACGGGGCAACCCCCCCGGAAGCTGGCCGGAGGTATGCAGGCGGCAGCAACGCGCAGAGCTCGCTGATCCAGTTTCTGGATCTTGTCCTGGGCATCGCCCATCCCTCCTCCTCCTCCTCCTCCTCCTCCTGCTCTTCCACCGGGGACTCGGGCTTCATCGCCGACATGCGCGCGTACATGCCGGGCCCGCACCGTCGGTTCCTGGAGCACGTCGCACAGATCGCCAACATCCGGGCCTTCGTGGAGGAGCGAGGCGACGCTCTCTCGGAGCTCCGGGCCGCCTACAACGCCTGCATCGACGGGATGTGCGTGATGCGCAATGTCCATCTCCGCATGGTGGCCCGCTACATCATCACCCCGTCGCGGATTGCGGGCGCGGATGCGCAGCAGCAGCAGCAGCAGCGAGGGGATTCCTCCGTCGCTCCCCTTCCCGCTTCCCCTCAGCAGAAGACGGTGCGAGGCACGGGTGGCACGGAGCTGATCCCCTTCCTCTCGCAAATCCGCAATAAGACGTCCCGGTCGAGACTGCCTGCGGTGGCCTCCGCACGATCCCGGCCCCCGTGGATCACGGAACCGGCCGCTCGGAGAGGAGCCGCACGACTGAGCCGAGAGAAGAACCAGCTGGCGACTCCGGTTTGGCTCCCTCCTCGGATCGCATGGGTGGATGGGGGCGGTGGTCTACATTATTATCTTCTCGTTTTGACGGCGAGTATGGCGGCGACGGTTCTGGTGGTGGTGGGGTACCGGACTCTCGAACCGAATGTCTCGGGGTTCTAGAACAGTTGATCCTATGGTGGTAGTAACTTAGATAGTCGCCCACAACCTGGCAATACGAAATCTGTCCGAGAGCCCAAGTAAAATTCTCACCAGCAATCGTGGCCGGCGCCCATAGGGTAACGGCGGCCCTCTGATGTATAGATACCGAGGCGGAAGTTATCCACACACTGAACGTACTGTACTTTACTGTACTGTACTGTACAGTGGGCCACCATGCCAATTGGAGTGTACCTTTCATCGATTGAAAGGTCCTTGACCTCCCCCTCCGGAACTTGCAGAGTCACTTGCCGAGACGCTTAGATGGAGCGATCGACGGCTCGATGATTGATTGTGATTCTTTGGGGCGTTCGGACTGCCCCCGGAGCGATATTCAGAACATCCCGTGACTATCAGAGGTACTGGTTCAGTACATACATACAACTACCCCCGAAACCTTGAGATTGAGTGATCACCTGAATAGTACCGTAGCAGTGGGGGCTAGTAGAACTCGTGTTCAGACCGATCAGATGTTACCGGTCAATCATTAGCGGCGGACTGGCCAGTGGATTCCAACACCGGGTCACAAATGTGACACCTGGCACTGGAACTTGGAAAAAGATCGTTGAAAAGAGGCATCTGGCCAGAGTGGATTCCTACGATACTTGTACTGAATAATAAGTTACCTACATAGTACCTATCTACCGGGGGGAGATCTCCCAGATCGCCACAATCACCGCCCAGACTTCACTGCTACCTATAGTGAAGTATGTAGCTTCAATGCGCGGTGATCTGCATGAGCATCTATCATATTATCTATCATAATCTCCAACTCTCCCGCAGCGATTATTGGGCTTGGTGTAGACCCCTGTCCTGCTCTCATGACCACCCGCCATGATTTTCGTGATGAACAACGGAAATGGGGAAGTTAGGGTTTTCACTATGTTCCAATAGAAGCGGAAGCAAATACTAAGTTACCATAGGCAGGACATGATTGGTACTGGGATCGCATTACTAGGTAACTTACCGGTGTAGCCCTTCTACTGGCTTCGCTTGCCCACCACCCCTTTCCTTTACTGTGTTGCTGCTATCTGTTAACAAGCAGTGCCGGACGGCAGACAGAGGGCAATTCGCCAAAGGTGGGTTTGATCGAACATCAACACTGGATGGGCTCTTTGGTACCTCCCATGTCATGTACTGCACTGTTTCAACTACCCCTTAGGAGAAGTGCATTGCAGTTGGCTTCTGATCATCGGATCCGTAAGTTGACTTGATTGACTAAACCACTAGGAAGTGAAACCTGACGCAAAAACCCCTTCCAACCATCAATTCTAGAAGCGTGAGCCTGCTCGTCTGCATCTGGCGTCTGAATATCAATCTGCAACAACGAAATCCCTGGTAGTGAGGCTCAGTCAGGCATGACGAGTTGGCCGCCCGCGGTGTGTGATACGTCAGACGCCACGTCTCGTCCATACTATGAAGTAAGGTACTGGTATATCTGACCCCCGCAGATCTATCTGGTTATATCTTTCCGGAGGATGACCGGCAAAGATGAAGCATTCGACTCGGTATTTAAAATGTAGGCGCCAACAGCCTGAAAGCAGACTGCACGAATGCTGCCACCAAGATCATGAGCCCAACCATGCAACCCTCGACTCCCACCACACCAACCCATCGGATTCTGATGCTCCATGGCAAGCCACCCCTTGATTGAGTCGGTAGAAGGGAGCAAGCTTCAGGTGAAAATCGACTAGACTAACGCGTCAATACCTTTATTGGACAGGACACGGCCAATCCGGACCGTTCTTCCGCTGCAAGACGCGGTTCTTGCAAGAAACGATCGAGCAAGCTGTCCGTGGCGCGGTGCAACAGCAGCAGCAACAGCAGCAGCAGCAGCAGCAGCAGCAGCAGCGGCAAAGCGGGGTGGTGGAATTCTACTACCCCTCCGGTCTGCTCCCGGCCAACCCGGACAATCCGCTGGGCGACCGCAAGAACAACAACATGTGGGCCTGGGGCTACGGCGATCACCAGTCGGACCGGATCCTGGGACTGGAGCAGTCCTTGCAATACATCGCCCGGCTGCTCGAGACCCACGGCCCGTTCATCGGCGTGATGGGCTTCTCCACCGGTGCCGCCCTGGCGGCCATCACGGCATCGCTGCTGGAGCGCCAACGAACGGTGTGTGACTTACCATTTGACGTATGTGCCAACACCCCCCCTCCCTCCTTCCCCCCTTCCTCCTTTGCAGAAGGCTTATCAGGTTGTCCTGCTCCCTCTACCCCAACACCAACAGACCACCCATCCCCCCCTCCAATTTGCGGTGTGCTTCAGTGGCTTCCGCCTGGAGCATCCGTCCTACGCGTCCATCTATCAGCCCAGGCTCACCACCCCGGTCCTGCACGTCATCGGCACTCTGGATACGATGGTCGATCCCGCGCTGTCGCGGCGGCTGGTGAAGGCGTGCGCCAATGCCTCGGCCCACTGCTTCGCCGGCACGCATTATGTCCCGCGCTCCCGGAGGTTTCTGGAGACCCTGGCCGGTTTTGTGGACCGGGCTTTGAGGACCCGCCCCGCGGGAGACGGGGAGGATGACGATGTCTGGGAGGACGAGGATGGGGTTTGAACCGGTTCGGTTCCTTTGTTTTGCCCACCGGTTGCGATGATCATTGGTTAGGCGAGCTTGGGAGGAAGATGCAGTACCTCCCTCTCTTTTCGTCTGGAACTGGAAGATCGGAATGACGCGCTACTGGGACGGGGAAGGGGGTTCGGGCAATGGGAGTGTAGTTGAGCGGTACAGAAGGGGAATTCGGCTTAGTTGGCTGGAAATTGCCTGTTTTTTTCTTTTCTATTTCTTTTTCTTTCTTTCTTTTTTTTTTTT